GTTCTCAACCTTTCACAGGGGTCGCCTAAGACCATCGGAAAACACATATTTTCGATGGTCTTAGGAACCGAGACACCGCTCCTCTATCCGTCTCCAGGCCCACATGCAGATACGCCCACATACGAGTACCTGGCGACCCCTGTGCAAGGGTTGTTCGACCCCCACAGGTTGAGAACCCTGATCTATAGACTTTATTTAAATTTGATAATGTAGTCATTCTAAAGTGATAAATTGAAACATTGTCAATAGTTGGGAAAGTACACATAAGTTAGTAAGTAAATAAAGCCAAATACAAAATGTACATGTTGATTTAAAACATGACAACGTTCTATGTTATATAAACTCCTGTTTATAATGACCAGAAACTCTCCTGTAGACGTGTGAATATTTTCATCAAGGGAAGAAAATATAAATAAAGGGAATAATTACAATACTTATGATGATTATATTTTAATTAATAAAAAAGATGTCTTGGTATAGTGGTCTATTTTCCAATTCTAAATTCAGGATAACTAGTCTTACAAAGGTAGATAAATTAAATCGCGTTGTCTATTTATTTAACAAAGCACCTTATTGAAAAGAATAAAACAGATAACTGACTTGGAAAATATAGATCAAATAGGTAAGGACCAGCCTCTCACAACCATCATACTACTCATGGATCTTCCATTTTCAACTCATGGAAGTGTGGGAAAACTCTTGGGCATTGAGGAAACGAAGTGTGACTTTGGATCCAGCCAATTCAAACTCAGTGAACCCAGTCTTGGGCGTCTCTCATAGTCTCAACCTAAGGCCTGACTTTGGCGGTGGCTTCTGGATAATAAGGTAAAACTGCCGAGATTGTAGTTATTCTTAGGGAGGACCAGAGTTTCTAAGAATCTTACCAAAAAAAGACAAGGGACTCTTAGAAGGTAAAAAGGGAAGAGAGCTAAATACGAGATTGAGTGGGATATGTCTAACGTGGACATTTAATTTTTGGTCATCATTACCAGTTTTTACAGATGCATTTAACCATGCCAATGTATCTTTTTTTTTTAATTACTAGAAGAAGGTGATTATTTCTGCCTGTAATTAGAGGCTTAACTTTTCTTGTATTTATTAAAAGATATGAGCAGTTCAATTTAACAGGTATGCTGTAGGTTCCAATTTATGCGCTAATAACAAACTATAATATCATCTTCAGCAAGGGCTCAAGGTGCTTTTGTTGGCGTTTGACAATAGACAGACTTGACCTTTTTTAGGAATAGAAAGAAATATATAGGAAAATCTTTGTTTATTTTTTAGATGGTTTGAGAAGGAATTAAGTAGCAAATATATTGGGTTGTTAGAAAAATCATGATGCATTTTTGCAATGAAAAACATAGGAAAAATATGTCATGACTTTTCCAACAACCCAATAGTTATTAAACGCTCACTTGCCTGCCTAGATGATGCATATATCAGTATTTTCCAAGTATGAGTTGGGAACCAGTGCTTCATTGGTCCAGTTTTTCATTGGTCCAAGGCAAAACATACAGACAAAACAGCCAGCCTGTCTGTTTGTCTGTCTATCTACCTACCTATCTATCTGGTCAAAGGTCACCAACTATCTTTTCTTAGAATGGACTGACTGCCTTTATTTTGCTGTTTTCTCCATGCATAATGTTTGGGTATAAAATACTCTTTCTTTTAGAAACTTGTGGTGAGAATAGAAAGTAGCTAAATAAAAAGTTAACAACCCAATGTTGGTCCCTTGTCCTTTTTCTTACATTTACTTGATGAAATTCAGCAGTCTAGGAACCATTGCAGGAAAGCAATGATATCATAGAAAGAGTTCTAGTTTAGGGGATAGGAAACTTCACCATGTGCCTTTGGGAAGGCTGCCAGGGCCCTCTGTACCTCCCCTTCTTTGGATATAAAATAGTCGTGAATTCCTACATTGGGTATAAAAGAGTAGTGAATTCCTACATGGAGGGTTGTTGTGAGGAATAGATGAGATATTACTTCATTTCAAAGTGCTTGGCTCATAATAACAATCAATAAAAGGGGGCTATCAAAATGAGATCGTGTGAAAGCACTTTATAAATTTGAAAGCACTGTACAAATATTAGGTGCTGTTCTTAGCTAGGATTGAAATTTTTAAAGCATCAGTCAGATGATGAATAGCTCCCAAATTGAAAACTCATGTGTTATCAAAGTAGCAGTGACTCTTTTACCATACAAAGCAAGTGAATGTTGCTAACAAAGCCGGCTTATTGTTCACAAATTGGCATGAATTCTAATGCACGATATAGTCCCAGTGTAGTTACATTAAGTGCTTCCTATCTCTGTGTTAGGAGCACAATTGGAAGGGATGTTTTCTTTAAAACTGCCTGAAAATTTGCAAAAATGTCTCAAGTATAGGGTTACTTTTTTTTTTTTTTTTTTTACAGAGAAAGAAGCCTAAAGCCCCAGACAATCCATTTCATGGCATTGTTTCCAAGTGTTTTGAGCCTCATCTCTACGTGTATATCGAGTCCCAGGACAAGTGAGTGATGTACATTTTGCTGTTTTCTATTGCATTTCTCCCTCCTCTGGTCATGGTTGGGCCTCTCAGGGCACCACTCCTTCCAGAGGCTGACGGAGGGACTTGGCATGCCTGTGACCCTCCCTGGAAACCCGTTAAGGATATTTTTATCTCTCTTGAATGGTATCATTTATTGTGACTATAAATTTCAAAAGCCTGAATTTGAGTCTAATAAGATCCCAAGTGGATCCCAACACCCCCTTCCCACGTGGGCACTCAGCCCTTATATAGCTATATATGTCAGCCCACAGGCTATATACAATGTCAGGCACTGGAAAATATAGAAAGAAAGCCTAGTCTCCAATGTAGATGTTATCAAGTGTAATGTAACTGTTTCATTTTGAAATAATTTAGACTTTAAAAACAAGTCATCAAAAATTCTCAAAGACCCTTCCCCCAGAGAATGTTATCATTTTTCATAATCACAGTTATCAAAATCAAAAAGGTAACATTGTCCCCGTGAATGTCCTTTTCCTGGTCCAAGATCCAGTCATACGTTTAGTTGTCAGGTCCTTTTAGTCTCCTTTAATCTTGAATGGTTTCTCAGTCTTCCCTTTGTCTTTCATGACCTTGACACTTTTAAAAAGAGTATCGATCAGTTGTTTTGTACGGTGCCCTCAATTTTGGTTTGTCTTTTGATGTTTCCTCTTGATGCAATCCAGATGGTGCACTTTGGGCAAGAATACCGTAGAAGTAATGTTGTGTCTTTCTCAGCACATCGTATCCGGAGGCAGGCTTTGTCCCATTACTGGCGATGTTGGCTTGGATCACTTGCTTTAGGTCGTGACTGCCAGCTTTCTCTGCTGTGAAGCTACTGTTTTTCTCTTTGTAATTAATAAGTATCTGGTGGGGGCATACTTCGGGACTACATAAATACCCTGTTTCTCATCACACTTTGCCCACTCAGTTTGACATCTCTTGATGATTCCTGCCCGAAGCAGTTATTACTGTAGTGTTTGCCAAATGTTGATTATCTCTTTCCATCATTTCTTCAACATTTACTAATTGGAGTTGTACTGTAAGGAAGAACTTCCTCTCTCCCCCGTTTGTTTGTTTATGTCAGTACAGACTGATGGGTTATCTTTTATGGATGATCATCTGTTTAATATCTGTGCTTTTTACAAACTCAGGGGCTCCAGAAAATTTGTATAAAGCAGCCCAAAGTAGCTACGTTTCCTCACAGCAAGAAGAGGATGTGCATGTCCCAGTATCTACTGTTCATGCAAAGAAGACCCCTCCTCATCCCCGAATCTCTGCCCACAGCCAGAGGATGCAGTCCTTGCCACACTGGAGGCAGGCTCCGTAAAGGTCGGGTTTCTGGAAGCGGCCGAGCTGCCTGGAGACAGGCTGGCCCGGGCCCCCAGAGGAGGTCTGGTGGCCTGAAGAACGCACGCCCTTAAGAGTACCAGACAGTGGCTCACACTGGGCAAACAGCGGCTGTGAAAAAAAGTTCTTGAGGGAAGTTCTCTGGGAAAGCATTTAGGTGCTGAAGCCCAGTCTTTTTTGTCTTTTTTTTTTTTTTCCTTTTTAAATGATTCTGTCATTGGTTAACAAATTCTTGTTTCCAAATGTGTTTCAGGGATAAACCATAAGAGAATATTTCAAGTGGAATCGCTACATGGAATATTACTGTTATTCACCTATTTGATTTTATAGATGGCTCCTACTCTTTTCCTTTCCAATTACAAAACACTGCATATTAAAATCCCAGAAAATGAACTTTGTAAAAGAGCTATTTAAATTGAAATAAAACCTCCTCTCTGCTCCCTTCCTTATCCCCCCCAAAAAAGTTGCCTAGGCATTTTTTGCCTTATACGGCCACAGTTTTCTTCCTGCTCTTTGTCCATTGGGTTTCTGTCAGCAGGCACACAGAGGGCAGTAGTTACTATTGCCTGTCAGTCCTTTGAAAGCACCCCATCTTCCATATTTAGAAAGTCATCTCTCAGGAAGTTATTAAGACACCCCTGAAGGGTGGGAAGAAGGATCAGTTATTAATATTTGCTTACTAGGTTAATAGGTCTTAGAGCAACCCACTTGGATGACGATTTTTTGGACAAAGTGCCTTCTTCTCTTATCAACCCCAATTCTTACTTTAAAACAGGCTTAAAAGCTCTTGAGTCCAGGGTTTACAGTGCATATCTGAGATAACCACATACTTGCCCAAAGCCTACCTGGTCTAAAGAGTCATTTTTCCAAATTATTATAATTCTGGTGTCTACTCTTTTCACGTGGCCTTGATTCATATAAAGCATACTCATTGTTCGTGATACTTCGGGCAAAGGGCCAGACCTGCCTTCCTTAGGTACTCTCCATTTCTCCATGAAAAATGAAGTGCTGGCCACTACTGCCGCTTGGCCTTCCTCAGATGTTTCCACAGCACGAGGGAAGGAGCGGAAGCTGCCCGAGGAGAACTGCGTAGGTTGTCCTGTTGTCGCTCCAGAGTAAGCAGCAAAAGCTTGAAGCAGAAAATAGAATTCAAGAAACCCATTTCCTCATCTGTTAAAGGAGAAAATCAGACAAAATAATACCTAACGCAGTGGTTATTAACCTTTTTTTTAAGTCATAAATCCCTTTGAGAACCTGATGAAAGCCACAGACCCTCTTGCCAAAAAAAAAAAAAAATCCTCATAAACCCACACGTTATTTTTTGAGAACAGTTTCAAGGGGTTCTAGAAAGCCCTTCCTCCTTTAAGTCAAAGAATCCTGAGGCTGGGGAAACTCAGGTGGGGACTGATTTTGTACAAATCACTACTCTTGTAGCTCTGACTCAAAAATCTGCAAGGGAGGAAAATCTTAGACCATTTACAAGCTCCCAAATGACAGAGACCCAATACAGTGTAGTGGAAAGAGCGTTGGCCAGACAGACCTTGATTTGAGTCAGAACTCTGCACTCACCAGCACGGTACTTAACCCTCCCCGCGTTTCCTTTGTCCTCTCTGCAGTGAAGTGAATATTGCCCCCCTCATGGGATTAGTGCTGAGGATAAAATACTGGTACTGGCATAAGTCAGCGGTGCTCAGGAACCGTGCCTGTCCTGCTCTCCCCGTGGTCTTGTTCTGGACTCTTCGGCGTTTGGGTGGCCGGATCAGTGTTAACAGCTTTCTTTTGGGCTTGGCCTGGGGGCCGTTCTCTCATCTCCCTGGCCTCCCACCTGCCCAAGGAAGGTTCTGGCAGCACCTGCCCCAGCCCAAAGCCAAGCCGCAATAGGAAGACTGCAGAGCCAGCACCCACAGAGGAGGCAGGAAGCGGGGTTGTCCCTGAAGCCACCTCTGTAGCAGGTTGGGCTGAGGTGTCCTTACATGTTTCAAGTGGCTTTCTCAGTTTTTATGTTTAAGGAGGAAGTTAGTATATCTTCTACTCTTGAGAATGTAGTGACTTTCTTCGGCTAACTTTTGCAGAAGATTTCTCTACATACGCATAGGTACTTTGTTTGCTCCATTCCGTGACATTCTCAGAGACATTATTAGTGGCTCCATTTCTGCCCGTTCTCCAGAGTTCCCTATCATAACTTTGGTTGAAATAGAGCTCCCCCGTCTTCTAGCTTCATCAAGCCCGGACTTTCTCTGTAAATTAATTTCATACTTTCAGAAGAGGTATAAGAATGGTACATAGAGCTTCTGTATGTCCTTCATCCAGATTCCTCAATTATCTCTCCCTTGTCCCTCACACACACGCTCCCATAGGCACACATACTCACATATATACGCACACACGTATTTTTCTCTGAGCTATTTGAATTCTCCAATTGCAGGCAAGATGCCCCATTGCTCCTTCATACTTCACCGTGTATTTCCTATAAATAAGGACACAATCTACATAACCACAGTACAACCATCAAAATCAGGAAATTAACATTGTTACCGCATCACCATTTCATCCATAGACCCCATTCCATTTCCAGTGGTTCCAGTCATGTTTTTTATAAATCCAGAATCCATTCCAGGATGACGGTTGCATTTATTTGTCACGTCTCTTTGATCTCTTTCAGTCCAGAAGAATAATTCATCCTTCCTTTATCTTTCATGACCTTGAAATTTTTGAAGAGTACAGGCCAGTTACCTTGTGGAATGTCCTTCAGTCTGCATTTCACTGATGTTTTTCTCATGATTTATGATCTATGCAGAAGTGGTGCTGTGTTCTCAGTAAATTCATGTCAGGAGGCACCCAGGGTCAGTTTGTCCCACAACTTGTGTTCATTTTTATTACTTGGTTTGGATAGTGTCTGCCAGGTTTCTCTATTTATTAATAAGTGTCAGGAGAAATTTTGAAACCATATAAATAGGCTTTTTTTCATCCTTCACCTACTTATTTAGCCACCCATTCATGATACTTGCCTGAATCATTTATTATTACTAAGATAGCTGCCAAATGATGATTTTCTAATTCCATCATTTCTACTGCATTTATTAGTTGGCTGTATATTTTAAGAAAAAGGTTTCTCTTCTCCCTATTTATATGAGCATGGGCTCATGGATTCCTATTTGGGTTGTCGGAAAAGTCATGACGTATTTTTTCTATGTTTTTTTGTTGCAAAAATGTGTCATGACTTTTCCGACAACCCAATATTTTATTCAATGGGTTGTAGCCATTACTATCTTTCTGTTTTTAACTTTATGTTGGAATAAATTTAAACCTGCAGAAAAATTTGAAAAATAGTACAGATTTCCCATAGTCCTTTCCCAAGTTCCCTTAATGTTAACATCTTACATAACCATAGTACAGTTATCAAAACCATCAAGTTAAGGCCGGCTGAGTGGCGCAATGGTTAAGAACTGGCTTGGGACGCCAGAGGGCCCCGGTTCGGATCCCACATATGAGGGCCAGTGAAACTGCCCTCTACAGCTAAGATGCTGAACAACAGCTCAACCTGGAGCTGGGCTGCCGTGAGTCGCCGGCGACGGCATAGGCTGCAGCCCCTACTGCAGTGGGTTGCCATGGGCTACCGTGTGTAGCCAGCAGCCAGCGTGAGCAGCCAGCAGCCGCCGTGAGCGGCCGTCCAGAAGCCGGCGACTGATCTGCCTCGCCCGGGAAGAGCGCAATGATGGTGCCAACTTGGGCCAGTGAAGCAGCGTCCTCCACAACTAGACTGAAGAACAAAACTACAGCAACTTGTCTGTTCCCCTTCCCCCAATTCCCCAGCGCTGTTCCCATCCCCCCAATTCCCCAACAAAAATCTTTAAAAAAAAATAGAGGAGGCTAAGATAAATCTTGCAGTGTTAGGTTAGAATTGGAGGTATCAGCATAAACTGTAATATAGAAATAGGTATAAAAATAGATATAGATGCATGTGTATACACACATACATATATTTCTCAGCTTTCCCAGCAGAAAGGAACTACAAGCATGACACCCAAGCAGTGATGAACATACCTGATGCCCAGACTTAGTTTCTAAATTGCATTCCCTACCGAAGGAACCGGGATCCTGGAGAAATTAATGGCTCCAGGGCTGGGCTAGGAAAGTACAGGATGAGCCTGGTATATTTTGTTGTGCCAGAAAGGAAATGCTCACAAAATGATAGGGGTGTGCACAAAGGATGAAAAACCAGTTTGAAGGGGCTCCCATGGCCAAATAAGGGACTGTTTTTGATCATTAAAATAAATAATGATGGATCTTGGAAGGAAAAGAGACATTAGCGGGAAAACCGATGAACCGGCCCTTAGCCTCCTCTATTAATGTCTGTAACCACTTTCTACGGCAGTGAGAAACTTGGCTCCCAGTATCCTCCCTGCATTTTCACCTTTGCTCCATTTACCTGTGCGTAACCCATCTCCCAGTTGGGCTCAAGCCACACCTTGGCTCCCCAACTCCACGGGCTGCCCCAGAGCCAAGTCCACGGCCCCCAACCAAAGGGAAGGGGAAGGGGTGCAAACCAGTTTGAGAACCCTTGAGTTTACAAGTTCTGCAGCTTCCTGGGGATCTTTAGCTGCTTTGCCCATGCTTACCTCCATGCCACCTTGTTCGGACTACCATCTTCCCCTCCCAGTGCCATCACTGCTTCACTTTCCAGTAGAATATTGTTTCTATAAATGTTGATTGCAAATCCACCAGAAGAAACGGCCTTGCTCATCCATGGATGAACTTGGTCTACAATGTGGTTTTTCTTCTCTTTATGTTTTAATCTTTTCCTCTGCTGATATCGCTCTGCAGTATAGTCTAATCCTAGGTCATTTTATTTGTCAGTTGAAATCCCAGCAGTATTTCACATGCCACCCTGAAATGCTTATACAGTTCTTGGGCAAAAAGCCCAAGCTACTCGGAAAAGGGTAATAAAAGACTCTGTCTACATCCGTGACATGTTTCTTCAAGCTGGGGAGAGAATGAATAACAGTAATAATTGTAATACCATATACAGTATTTGTATAGTGCTTTACAGTTTGGAAATCAAAGCAAGGTATAGTGAGTGGATAGAGCTTAGCTTCGGAGTCATACAGACCCAAGTTCAAATTCTAGCTCTAGGGCAAATTATATTATTTTTCTCAGCCTTGATTTCTTCACTTATAAAATGGGGATAACAAGGCCTTCTACTCAGGTCTGTTGTGAAGATTCAATGAGATTGTATTTATAATGCACCCAGCGCATGCCTAGTTTATATAGGCTTACAGCTTAGTGGGAGGGATAGACCCAAGAAAGATGTGGTGCACAGCGTGAAGGCCCAAAGATATGAATAGTGGGAATACAGAGGAGCGTATCAATCAAACTGCAGGCAAGGTTGTCTCTGTTTGTAGCTCCTACTTCAGCCAAACTCCTCTCATCCTTCCCACCGTCTCTTCGTCATACCATATTCTGTGCTCATTTCTAACTCCGTGCCTACATTCTCGCACCGGAATCTGTTGTGAGATTTTCTCTGGTGTCCTCTGTTATTTCCTTTATCCAAAATAAATTGTTCGCTTTGTGTATATTGTGAAATTAGCTCTTTTCTTTCAATCTGGGAATATAAATCTCATAAGCATGAGGGTCCTATCTCCCCACACAGGCCGGTGCTTCTCAAGGGCAGACACTGTGCCTTCACCCCTGCAGCACTCAGGCTGGGACTTGACCCTTTGTAAACTCTTGCTTGATTGTAACTGCTTTAGGATATAAGAAGTGCCTCCTTGTGATTCCAGTCCGGAGATCAGTATGCCACATATTTTGTTCTCCAGTAGTCCTATGAGAAGATGTTGCCAAAGCTCAGGGTAGTGTTTGGTGCTTGGAAGAAATGATAATCTTTGCTTTTTTTTTTTTTTTTAGTTGAATTCATTTATATCTTATACCAGCACCCCACAGAGCTTTGCACATACTAAGTGCTCAATATTTGATTGGATCGGATCATCTTTTCAAACTAATGAACTGTACCCATTCCCGTGGGGGTAGCTTTTACTGTTCTCTTCTGTGAAACGTTGATTACTTGTTTTCTAATGTCTTGTATATCGTAGAAGTATGCTGCTGTGAAGAGTGGGAGGGAGGGAAGGTTCCTCTGGTTTATTTCTCACGCGCACCAGAGAACAGTGTCAAAAGTAACCTGGTAGACATTCAGCAAAATATGGAAGCTCTTTAGAGTTTTGGGGGTTTTTAAGTGGAAATTTTCTTTATTTTCTGTGATCATAATTTATAATCTTACTCATCGGGTTGGCTCCGAGATAGGTGGTAGGTGAGTAAGCATCCTGACTTTAGCTTCTTGGGGAATTAGGTAAGTGGTTAAAGTAAACTTTGGAGCTCTGGCCCCTGTTTGGATTGGCACTGTCGATTTGGAGATTAGACTCTCTCCTAAGAAGACTCCAGTGGAACCTTTGGCTTCTGTTACAGGCTTGCCTCCACTGTACCAGCCCCTGCTCCCTCTCCACTTCCCCACCCCTTAGGAACTAAGTGTGGAGGTTGATTAGCTGAGTTTGTAGGCACCAACATAATTGCGAAATTAGCTTCCCACATAAGTGTGAGGGGTGGGCCTAGGGGGAGCAGAAGTGACATAAACCTGATCCCTGCTCTCAAGGAGCTTTTAATAACATACATGAAACAGAGAAGATTCTCCTACTATATAGCAAGCAGATTTCACCTTTTGTACCAATGTCAGCTTATTAGAAGTGGCTAGAGTGCTATCTCAGGAAGGATTCTGAAATTACACCAAAGATCAGTGAAAAAGATTGCGATTATTGGCCGGGGGCCCAGGATGGGAGACCGTCAACATGTTTCTTGACTATTTGATATCTTTACACTGTATATTAAAGCGTTAAAAAATAAAGCATCAGTGTGTTCCAGATGACAGAGGTTGAAATGGAGATAAAGGATTGATGTAAGTGGGAGCTGTCTGGGTGCACCCTGAGCTGAGTTCAAAAGATGAGTAGAGAAGTGGTGGGAGAACATCTTGGCGGGGGTGAGGTGGGGTGGGGGAAATCCCGGCAAAGGCAGAGTGAGGGATAGAGGTAGAACTGGGGGCAGTTGAGGCGAGTCTGGCTAGGGCATAGGGTCACTGGAGGAGAGATGGGAGGTTAACTGGAAAGGTTAAGGCAAGAAGAGGTTGTGAGGAATGGAGGTGGGTGGCGACCCTGGAGGGCCCTCACCACAGACAAAGACCTAGTCTAGGCCTGAAGTTCTCTGAGGGCAGAATGGCTACATCTGGATATAATAAACTTGCAATAACGAAAGCCCTTGAGTAAAATGTCAATTTTCTCCTATTCGTGCTAATTGATGCTGTGTGTGGTTCTTGTCTTTTTCTTCCTGGCTGTTATATAAATACATTTTAAAAACACAGCTGGATCCCTATAGCCTTAGACAGCCACCTAAAAAGATGCAAAATGTCAAGAGGGCGGTGAGGACCCCTCCCATTTTTCATACAGCACAACTGTGCAGGGACCGATCAATACAGCCCTGCTGGATTCTAACTAGCGATGACTCATTGTGACTGAGGCAAACGCAGTGACGTTTGAGTATTTCTTTACAGTGTCTCTTTACTTAGGCATTCATGTCATGGGCACATTTAGGTCAATGATACTTAAATACTTGCTGATATCATAACCTTTTTGTGTTTTAGGAGGTAGTAGGCTAGCATGTGGTATGGAGCCAGGGTGCTTGGTTTTGAATCCTGGCTGCCTCACTTTCTTGCTCTATGCCCTTGGACAAGATCCTTAACTTCTTTGCACTTCGCTTTTTGAAAATGAGGACAGTAATAGTATCTACTTCATAAGATTATTGTGATGATTAAGTGAAGTTTATTGAAACCATGTTTATAAAATGCTGATGTAGTGCCTGGTACATCACATGTGTTCAGAAAATGATCGCTATCATTTCGAGTTTTCATTTGCGGAAACGGGAGATGATACTAATATGGCAATGGGACCAGCGTGTGCACTTAAGTGGATTCTGGGCTCAGCTGTGCCACTAAATTGTGTGATAGCCTTTCTAGGCCTTAACTGTTTCATCTCGTAGAGGGTCCAATGATATCTTCCTCACAGGGGCCTGGGGCCAAATATAATCATGAAATGCTTTGAAAAGTATAGAGCAGCGCACAAATGCCACATTTTATTGCTGCTGTTATTGTAGGAGTAGTGGGGGTGGTTAATGATGATATTGATAAAAATGGGTCTAATTTTAAATGTAAAAAGCGTTGGAATGAGTTGCTCACAGCAATCAAGCACATTTTTTTTTTGCTTTCTCTTTCTTGAAATAAAATAACATTTCAGGTTTTCTCCCTCCTAGAAACCTTGGAGAGCTGATAGATCGGTTTGTGGCCGATTTCAAAGCCCAGGGACCACCTAAGCCCAACACTGACGAAGGAGGTGCCGTGCTCCCCAGCTGTGCTGACCTCTTTGTCTACTACAAGAAGTGCATGGTGCAATGCTCTCAGCTCAGCACTGGGGAGCCGATGATCGCTCTGACCACCATTTTCCAGAAGTACCTCCGAGAATATGCCTGGAAAATCCTTTCTGGCAATCTGCCCAAGTGAGTCCTATTTTTCCTGGTCTGGTGGTGAAGTAAGATTCTGAACATCCCTAAGTATGAGTATCTCTAAGGAAACCCACTCTGAAGTTGCTTACCGAACTACTAAGAGTCTCAAGGAGGAAAACAGCCTTTCTGAGTTCTTAAGGGTCTGAGACTGTTTCCTCTCCAGATGGGATTCCACAGCTGATCAAGACCTTGAGAGGACATCCCCCCAGTGGCTGTGGGTGTAGGTCAGCTCTTACCACCGTGGACTCAAGGGAGTCAGTCCATTATATATGTATTGAATTTACACAGATTTAATGATGGGTACTTGGCCAAAAAAGTGGGGGAATGGTGGAAATAACTTTTAAACAGCATGGGCCGCTTCATTCGGGCCCCATTCAATGAGAGCATGTCCTGGGATAAGCAGATGGGAGGCATGGGTCTGATTAGTTCCAAAGCCTCTCCTATGGTGTGTGTATCTTGCTATGCTGGATAGAGTCTAATGGTTAAAGATGTGGTGGGATTTGGGGGAAGAGGGTTGAATAGCACAACCCCTCATTATAGTGAGTTCACTGTATTCCCTGGGGCATTGGATTATTGTTATATTGCTTAAAATAAATGGATCACTCAACTAGAGTTTTTAGAGATGGTTTGGTGGTACTATAGCAATTTTGATTGTAATAGAATGTGATCTAAAGTAATGCTTCAGCATGTAGCATTTATAAATCATCCCCGTGGCTATGTTCAACAGTTCTGGAACTCATTTCTGTCATTGTCACTAAAATGTGTCATATATGAGAGTTTTACATTCTTTGGAGGAAAGAAAATAAACTCCCTATGTTCCACAAGAGATTTGAAATAACAGATATGTTTCACCAATGAGAATTTCTTTGACACTGATAAAAATTATTTTAAAATGTTTAGTAACTTTTATCCTGATTATCAAAATAATACAAGTTCATGAGAGTTTAGAAGACACAGAAAAGCACAAAGATGAAAATAAAAATTACCTATAATCTCACCACCCAGAGAAAACTAATTTAACGTTTTGCTGTATGTTTTTCCGTTCTTGCTTTCGTTTGTTTAACAGAATTGGGACTGTCCTACTTAGAGTTTTATACCCTGCTGCTTTCACTTAGCATCATCCTGTGAGCCTTTTCCCATGTGCGTTAGTCAGTGTCACAGCAGGAAACAAACAGTATATACTCAGCTGGACGTTGTTACTAAAGTGACTATTCACAGAAATGGGGGCAAGGTGAAAAGAACCAACGGGATTCTGAAGCAGTGGGTATTTATTACTACTTTAAAACTCACTTGAGAACTAGGGCTGTGGACGAAGGGCTGGCCCCAGAGAAGCTGTCGTGATAGAGGCCCACAGTCACTGGAAGGACCACACTGAAGCAGAGGGAGCCTGAGGACCTGCTAGTTAGTACTCAGACCTCTCTTTCCTCTACCTCTCCAACTTCCTGTGGTATCTCCTATTGGCTGAACCCAAAGGAGGCCTGAGGGCCAAGGAGCCTGGGTGATAAGTCTGGAGAGGTCATTCTCCTGAGCCACAGAGAAGGGAAGAGAAGAACAGAGAATGGATCTGGGAGGCCAAGAGAGAACAGTCTACACTCGTGACAGTGACTTCATCAGAAACACTTTTAACAATGCCATGGCAATCAGACATATAGAACAACCTCAGTTAGCTTCTGAGATTCTTAGTGATCGTTTTCTTCATTGATTGTGTAGGTTGGGTTCACTATTTTGGTATTTTAAATAACACTCAGAAAAGCATCCTTGAACAGAAGTAGAACTGCTGGGTCAAATTGTCGGAACATTTTCTTTTCTCTTTTTTTTTTTAAATTGGGTAACAGTATGTTTTTTTCAGGACCCATCTGCTCCAAGTCAACTAGTAGTTTCAACCTAGTTGTGGAGGGCGCAGCTCAGTGGCCCATGTGGGGATCAAACTGGCAACCTTGGTGTTATGAGCACTGTGCTCTAACCAACTGAGCTAACTGGCCGATCCCTGGAACATTTTTTTTAAGCTCCTGAAATATACCTCCAGAAAAGTTGTACAATTGAATGCTCCTAACCAGTAGATGAGAGTGCCAGTGGCCTCACACCCTTATAAGTGCTGGAAGTTAAGATGTTGCCAAATCTTTGATTACCACTAAGACTGGGCCTTTTTTTTTTTTTTTTCAATAGAGAAATTTCTCTACTATTTTTAAGATAAATGTCATGAGTTCTATCTTCTGGGGAAAAAAAATTAGACTCTGACAGTTGAAGTAGTAGGAAGTTTTATAACTGACTTTTGACATTTGGTGATTGTGTGATCAGACCAGTAGGCAGGGATGAAATGCCTTTTGGTTTTTTTGAGACAATCAGGGCTTTGGGCAGGAACCACGTCTTAGCATTCACTTTTGTCCCCCTCCACAAGCACAACATACACATTCCTATGCGGAGTTTTCTTAACTGGGAGAAACAGTTGGGGAACCAGCTTTTGTGCTACAGATGATCCTGAAAGAGCTCTACAGAGCAGGAAATGGCAACCTCAGGCGAGAGGCCACTGCGCAGCCTTCTCTATATCAGCCTCATCACAGTGAACATGACTGATTACTGGCTCACTGCTGGAGGCCTCTCTTCCTATTTCTGATGGTCAGACAGTTTAAACAGATGATAGTCAAGGTGAGGTCAATAGGAAAAGGGCTCATTGTGTGTGGATTTGTTTGGGCCACGTCCAGCCTTTCCTTCCCCCTTTTCTTTGTCTTAAGATGTATAGCTTTCAGTTTAAGAAGCAAAGGAGAAGTCCCAGCCTGACTACTTCCTGTTCCTTTTCCTCAGAACCACCAGCAGCAGTGGAGGGCTGACCATCAGCAGCCTCCTCAAGGAGAAGGAGGGCTCCGAAGCAGCCAAGTTCACTGTGGAGGAGCTCTGCCTTATCTGCAGCATCTTGAGCACGGCCGAGTACTGTCTGGCCACCACCCAGCAGGTGAGCCGCCTGTTTCCTGAACCTCCTGGGCCACATAGCTCAGTAGATAAAGAGTATGGACCCTAAGAAGACAACCTTGGGCAGAGACTAGCTGGTCTCCCACAGAGGAAAACTAGCTGTCCAGCCAGAAGACGGCCGGGGTAGCCACCTTACAGAAGGACCTTGTTAAAAGGATCCTGGGCAAGGAAATATAAGCGGTCTCTTCCCAGGAGCTGTGGAAGCTACCTAAAGGGCATGCCCTCTTGAAAGTAGGCCAGTAGCCCCATCTCCTGTATGAGACAAGCAGGAACCAACTTGATGGTACTAGGACCCAGCCTTTTGTGGTGATGAGTCACAGCCCCGTTATTCCATTCTCAGAAGCATCACTAGGCTAAGCAAAATCCTTTGGGCTTTTATATGTCTCCTGGAATTTACATAGCAGCCTCAATCTGCCGAAACAAATAACCATTGTTTGGATGCTGACGTTCAGGAACTGGGAAGCCGGAAAGGGTGGTGCCTCTCCTGGAGCTCCCTATTAAAAGAAGGAAGACCCAGAATAATTTTCCATTCAGCCTTAGATGTAGGATTAGAAGTTCCTTTTCACCTTTGGTCTGGAATTCACCAAAGGCCAAGAGAAAGAAAGAAATTGGGGAAGGTCCTGCTTTTGCCCCCTTCTTTGGTTTATTATTCATACATGTCTAGATCATAAGAAGGCAGCCATTAAGTCATGGTTCAGAAAGTACAGCTTGGAGCACTGTGAGCTAGAGCAAGAATGCGGAAGGCCAAATAAGTGTCCCCCAGAAAACTTCACAGTTGGGATTAAGCCCGCCAGAGGCGGAGGCAGCAGTATGCTCTGCTTGGGGTTGATCACAGAGTCACACGGGGGATGACCTGTGAAGGCTTGGCTTCAGAGCCAGACTAGTTTGTATGTGTGCAGAAAGAGAAAGAATACATACATATAAATATCGTATTTTAAAAGTCAAATAACCATGATACAAAAAAAAAAAAGACTCTTAACCCCATTACCCTCAAATAATCATATTAGCAATTTAGAGTTTTTTTCCAATCGTTTTTTTGTCAACATAGTTCTATATTCTATAATCTTGACTTAATTAATTTTCATATTATAGCAGTAGCATTTTTTGTTGTTAACATCATAGCATAGTATTTTTCCTATTGCTATAATGTCTTTATGCAATCATTGTTATGGCTACAAAATAGTCCATTAAAGGTTATACCATAAATTATTTAACATTATTCCTGGTAATTTATGTTGCTTCAAGTTTTTGCTTTTATAATTAATCCTACAAAGAACATCCAGTATGTTTTGCATTATTTTTCTAGAATAGATTCTTAGAAGTTCTAGAAGTATTACTTGATCAGAGATCATTTTGATGACTCAGAATAGATGTAGCCAATTTTTTGTTGTTTAGTGAAAATTATATTTACTGATTATAAAAGTAAACATTAATATATTCTTAGTGCCTATATTGTGATCTTTAAATACCATTTTCCACTAAAAGGAACCAGAGATTCTTGAAAAAATGACTAATTCCAGGTCTGGGACAGGAAATACACAAGATGAGCCTAAAACATGTCATATAAAAAGCAGGAAAAGTATTAAAGCCTGTGAAAGTCATTTCAGAAGTACTCTGGGGGTGTAGTAGGTTTAATGTACAAAAAGATATGTCCAGATCCTAACCCCCAGTACCTGTAAGTGTAACCTTATTTGGAAGTAGGATCTTTGAAGATAGACATAAGGATCTCAGGATGAGATCACCTTGCTTTTAGGGTGAGCCCTAAATCTAATGACTGGCGTCCTTAGAAAGGAGAGGGGGATTTAACACACAGAGGCACAGGCATGTAAAGATGGAGGCAGGACCTTGAGTGATGCATCTAAGGAACACCAAGGGTTGCCAGCAGCTACCAGAAGGAACCTCCAGAAGGAACCCACCCTGCCAACACTTTGATTTTGGACTTCTGGTCTCCAGAACTGTGAGAAAATACGTTTTTGGTTGAAGGCACCAAGTTTGTAGTAATTTGTTACAACAGCCCTACAGGAGCCAACCTGAATAAGCTCTACTGGTCAAAGATGAGATATATAAACAACAGTCAAAATCTGAACTACAATTGGTTATAATGATTCTTTTTTTAAAATTCATGTATCACCTTTGAAGATACTAAGGAACCACAGGGATGAATTAAACACTGGTAAATAAAGGAAAAGTTTTTATCCTGCCTTTCCTATTTGACTTGGATCTCAGGATGACCAAATCATTGACAATGGGAAGAATCTCTTTATAGCAAAATTTTAGCTAATAAATGAAGAAGAAAAGATAGAATTAGAATCTCACCCTTTTATGCCTCCTAATGGAACAATGGATCTGGGCATTAACCATCAATGGCTGCTGACATTACAAAAAGAGACACAAGCAAACATCATGTATCTCCTGATAGAAATACACAACACCATCAGGAAGTAGTTTCCTAGAAAGAAAAAGAGAACCTGAACCTGAGCGAGCTTCTACAGTTGATCCTTGAACAACATGGGGTCAGAGGCGCTGACCCTCTGCATGGTTGAAAATTCACGTATAACTTGGGACTCCTTAAAAACTTAACTATTAGCTTATTGTTGACTGGAAGTTACCAATAATATATGTAGTTGATTAACACGTATTTTGTGTGTTACCGTGTATGTTATATTCTTACAATAAAGTAATCTAGAAAAAAGAAAAGAGTATCATAAGGAAGGGAACATACATTTACCGTATTTATTGAAAAAAATCTGTGTATAAGTGGGCCCACACAGTTCAAACCCTTGTTGTTCGAAGATCAACTGTACATCAAACTACAATTTACAGGAAATACAAAGGACAAAGGGAACACGTTAATACCTTGTGGATGCAATCAACAAAATCTAAATTCTGGAAAAATCTACAGGGCAAACAGCTGAGTTTTCTTAAGAAAAAATTACAGGGGTAGGGGGTAAAAAGAAATGGGGGGAGAAACCAAAGAGACTTTTAAGAATCCAACCAATAAAGAATTGGAAAATAAAATTTAAAAAACAATGCCAGTAATGTTTCACTAATTGTAACACTTTCATACTTAACACACTTGCATAAAGTATTCCATTCATTCAAGAGAGCTTTATGAAACACTTATTTATGTACCGGACACTGTATTTGATGTTAATTCACAGTGGTGAACAAAGTAGCCAAGTTTCTTTCTGTGGTGGAACTTAGAATTAATGGCACCAGATAATAAGTAAGCCGAGATGTAACTTCAATTTTGTGTTAAGTGCTAGGAAGGAAGCAAATGTTGCAGTGCTAGTTAGGGAGTTGCCTACAGAAGTAGAGTGGTCCAGAAGGACCTCTCTGAGGAGGTGACATGGAAGCAGAGACCTGAGGGTTGGAAAGGAGATCCTAAATGAGGAGCTTGGAAGGGTTGGGAGGTGGGGGAGCAAAGCAAGGGAACTGGTTAGGAGGGGTGAGCAGGGACTGTTTCAGGGAGAGGAAGTAGGAAGTGTGATGTATGAAAGCCCTGAGAGGGACGAGACTGGTATTTCCAGAACTTTAATTGGTTGATGTAACTGGGAAGCCAGGGATGCAAGGGGGAAAGCAAACTGTGGGCGGGGGAGATAGGACCCAAATCACGGGTAGAAGTTTGTATTTTATTTTCAGTGTAATAGGAAGAGGCTGCTAAAGAGTTTAGGCATTGTATGTCTGCACCGTAATTTGTTTCATCAGTCCCTTGAATTAATGTATATGTGTAGATTAGTGATGTGTAATTAATATATGTATAATAAATATATGTATAGATTATTTCCAGTTTTTGTGTCATAAAAAGCACTAGAATGTGAGCTTCATGAAAACAGGCTTTTACCTGTTTTGTTCTCTGAATAACTCCCTAACTCTATTACAGAGCCTAGTACAAATGGGCTTTCAGTACATACTGGTTGAATTAATGAATGCCGTAAAAAAAAATACCTGCATATCTTTGTATGGTGTTCTCATTGTTTCACTGAAATACTTTTCTAGACATAAAATTGCTGACTTAAAGAGTACATATATTTAATTTTTGCTTTTTAAATAAATTGTCTTGTAAAAAAGTTACACAAATTTACACACCCCTAAGAGCATTTTTAAGTTTAAGACAAAACACTCATTATTCTTAGAGTCTGTGTAATAAATAGGTCGTAAGTGCTAGATGAGTCAATTCCCTGGATGTTTGGAGAATTTACAGTTCCTGGTCAGTTGCATTTGATTTTGAGGTGGCTGGAGCGTGGCCAGTGTTTCTCTCCTAGGCTGTGGACAGCTGAAGGCAGAGTCTGCTGCTTTTCTTTGCCTCAGTATCCCCAACACCTTAATATCGCGGGTGACACATAGTAGCACTCAGTGAATACTTTAATACTGATTTTATTGCCACCCACCACTAGCGGCTTCCAGTGTTAGGGAATGAGCCTCCAGTTCACATGGCAAAGCGTATCCTAAAAATCAGTGTCTTTTGTAAATGAATGAAATGAATTGTCCATGTGTCATAAGAAACCCGTACAGCTCAGTACGAAAAGGCAGACAGGCTCTGGAGGAAATTTGATCTCTAGTCCTGCCCCTTACCATCTCAGGTTGGTCACTCCTCCATTTCCTCCTCTGTAAAATCGGGGTAATAATAGAATCTTCCTCACAGATTTTGAGAATTAACTGAGTCAATATATGAAAAGGGCCTGGAATTGCACCTGAATCACAAAACTCAGTCAGTGTTAAGTATTCTTATTATGGCACTCCTCCGGATAACCACGCAGCCTGTTTCTCTCTTATTTTCTAATAGCTGGAAGAAAAACTCAAGGAAAAAGTTGACGTTAGTCTGACAGAGCGGATCAATCTGACGGGAGAGATGGATACGTTCAGCACGTAGGTACCTTGTACGCGTTTGCTCACGGCCTGCCCGTCACAAAGCAGCATGTCTCAGGCTGCAGGCATAGGTCACTGCAGAGCCTGAGAGTTTTCTGGAGCTTTCTGTTGGATCAGGAGTATTCTCCACTGGCCACTAAGAAGAAGCATCAGAAACTGGTGCAGCTGCCTCCCATTCTGCCTCCTCAGATGCAGTTATTTTTAGCTTACTCGTATAAGTCTTTATTGTTGCACTATCGAGAATAACAAAAAGAGAAGAAAGCCTCCTTTGACCATCCCTGCAGGAAGATCAGGTCCAAGGCCGCCTATCTGCCCCCCTAATTCCACAGAGGGCCAGCCCCACCTCCAGTGTTTCACAATATAAAGTGTAAGCAGCCTGATTTTCGCCACGGGAGTCGGGGAGGGGGTGAGGTTGCAGTTCAAACTGCAAAGCCTTCTCGATACAGTTCTTTGCCTGGTGTTACCTTGCAGCGTTTTTGTTGTAGTCATTAAATGAGATTGGGAGAGGCCAAGCTTCAGCTTTCTCATCATCCACTTATTGTGGAAAAATCAACATTTTCTTCTTCTGTTATTTCTTCTCCTTTTCTCAACCTTTTCTTTCCCCCCAAGTTCTGTTCTCATTCAAACATTTTGACAAACAGGTACGTTTGGAGGCGGAAGTGCAGGATTCTGGGTGTAGCGAATAGGGAGAAGAGCTGTGGTGAAAGTTTGTGTCCTGACTGAGTGGGGACACACCCGAATAAGACCAGGACAGGCAGCAAGAATGAGGAAAGAGCCAAAATGCTCCTTGTGGTCACTAACTCCCTTTTAAAATGAAACTCAGGTTTCCCGAGTTTCTGACGAAATGATGAACCTAATTTTACACAGGCGCCTAAAACATTTGGAAGGGGCTGTGTGAGTCATTCAAAATGTGATGTTTTAAAGTTATGACCTCAGTAATGTGTTTGGTTTGCAGTGTCATCTCGAGCAGTATTCAGTTGCTGGTTCAGGATCTGGATGCTGCCTGTGACCCTGCCCTGACTGCCATGAGCAAGGTAAGCTTGTGGGAGTGTGGCTTCCTAGACTTCCAAGGGTGACCCCCATACCCTTGCCTGTACTTTCTTCAGGCTCTTCAGTGCCTAGAGGATCAGCTGGGAGGAGAATGGAAGACCTCTAGGCGTTTCCGAAAGTGCTCAGTCTATCTTGCACCTTAGGTCAATGGCTTGTCCTTTGAGAACAAGACAGGGAGCAGATGTGTTCGGTTTGTCTGAAGGAGATGTTACCTTTGGTTAGCATCGGACACATGCTGAATTCCTTAAGCAGTCTCGTCAGAGTGGGCATTATTGTTAGTGCTCACATAGGTGACTTCTGACTCATCTTCATTCTTGCCACTGAGGGGTTTCTCCATCTGTTCCTGAGCTCTGATGCCAGTGCAGGGTTATTGATCAGGTTGCAGGCCATGGTTTTCTAATATTACGGCGGCCCCTCAATCAACGATCAGCTCCCCTCTTTTGGCACTTACCACATGCTGCCTTGTGTTGCTCTTTGGCTTTCATGTGCCTGTGTCTTTTCTTCCTAAAATAGTGTAAATTCCTTAAGTGCGTGGACCATGTAGAACGTAGACGACGCTCATGTTTGTTGATTACTTAACTTGGAAACAGGCAATTCTTCATTGGTTTCTAAGCCACATAACATGAAGCTATCCACTCTAGAACCTTCTAGAATAGGAGTCAGCAAACTACAGCCTGTGGGGCAAATCTGGCCCATTGCCAGTTTTTGTAAATAAAGTTTTATTGGAACACAGCCATGCTTGTTCATGTATATGTTATCTGTGGCTGGTTGTTTTTTTTTTGTTGTTAGAATGGCAGAATTAAGTAATTGCAACTGAGACCATATGGCTCACAAAGCCTAAAATATGTACTGTCTGGCTCTTTACAGAAAAAGTTTGCCAATGCCTGTTTTAGCATCACAGACACTTGTAGCATTTTCACAAGTGCTGGAGAAAGAACTTCTCTGGGGTATACTGGCCAGTGGCAGAGCTCAATGGAAAGAACACTGGCTGTGGAGTCAGACAGACCTAACTCTTCTCGTTTTTCCTTTGGGGGAGTTGAGCAAATGGCTTAACCTCTCTGGGCCCAAGTCACCTCATCTGTATGTGAAATGTGGGTATTTGCCTCCCAGAGTTGTGAGGATGGAGCAAAAAGAGAGTGACGGACGTGGTGCCGGTAAATGCTAGTCCTCTTTCCCTCTTGTCAGGAGGAGCGGCCATGTCACAAGGTTATATAAGCAGACATTTGGTCTGAACTTGGTCTTGTAGTAGACTGTAAATATTTAATGAAAATAGGATTAAACTCAAAACTTGGGCTTCGGGGTTTTATGAAGTTAAGCGGGAGTCCTGGATAGCTGATGTCACAAAGTTTCTATTCAAAAGGCCTATCAGAGGTGGTTGTGTATTTCCAGTATACTCAGTGTTTGCAAGCAGAAATCTCTGAGCAGGCAGGTTGAGGCTAACCCGCTTTCTTAAAGGAACATGGCTCTGAAGATTCGTTGTGCGGGCTCTGATTGTCCCCTAGCTGCTGGCGAGCGTTGAGCACATCCTGAACATGATCTGTTCCAGCTGCCATCTCTCCGGAGCTGCCATACACTTTAGATCGGAATGCAGCTGGTGAAAGAATTTTTACATTTACCAAAGGAAGAGTGGCTTTTTTCTTCTTCTTCTTCTTCTTCAGTAAAATAACAATTGTAGGGGATTTAACACCCCAGGTGTTGCTTATATGAACTGTCAGTTCACTAGGTGGATTTCCCTCAAACTCCCCCAAACCCCACCACCCCTTTCTCCCCCAGACCCACACCAGCAAATATTAACAGAGACCATACCTCTAGAGTCTTTTGTTTATATCATAGGAAAACCACAGACTTGGGAACCAGCAGCTGGGAGGCCATTACTCTTTGTCTGAGTCTTCTGGAGTTCTAGCAAAATGAAATCCATGTGATGAAAATGACGAGATATAAACAAGCCAAGTGGTCACAGATTGATTCAACATACACTGTCTGTTATTGGTGCCTGCATCCTGTTTTGTATAGTTTCTTCTGGGATTTTGAAAAACTTTTGTTTTGTGATCATGCTTATTTCTGTCTCGGATTCCATCATTTTTGCTGCTAATTAAACAGCTCAATTCAGATTCTACCCAGTACAGTGGCAGGAGTTGCAAGGCTGGGGCAGACGTAGATCTTATTATCTCAAGTTTCGTAGATTCCAGAAGGTGTGGGGCAAAAGATGTGTGAGGTGAGAGGAATGCCCAAATAACTGCCCTATAGTACCTTAAGAAAATCAATACCAAAATCAGCACCCTAAGAAGAGTACAAAATACACCCTTTTTAAAAGAGGGGAGAGTTTATATCCAGATGGGGAGGCGAGAAAAGCCTGCATAAGGAAGTGGCATTTGAAGTAGACCGTGAAGGATGGCGAAGGTTTGAGCAAATGTGTGATTAGGAGAGCAGTCCGAACAGGGGGACAAGATGAGCAAAGTTTGGGAAGCGGAGAAAGCTCAGAACTTGGTCAAAACTGCCAGTCTTATTACCCATGTTCGGAATTCCACAAGGTACTCTGTACTGGCACTCACAAAGTCAAGATTGGAAACGGTGCCCTCAAGGAGTTTATATTCTGATGAGGAGAAAACTTTGAATGCTGTAAATAATTGTATTTTGTAAAGGGTGAAAACACGAGTGTTGGGCTTGCCGAGGTGGAGTGGGGTTGGATGATTCTGAGTTGATGGAAGGAAGCTTCTTTGACAAGATGGATTGAGTCAAACAATTCAGTTACATCCTTCTCCTGGGAGGAGACCTCATTCTCCTTAAAGGTACCCCATGACCTCCTCCTCGGTTAGCACATAGGGCTTTCATGATTTGTCCCTTCACTACCGTGTTTATTCTGTGACTCCTATGTATCAGGTTGTCGGAAAGGTCATGACGCATTTTTGCAATGAAAAACAGAAAAAATACATCATAACTTTTCCGACAACCCAATATATCTGTACTCCAGTCTCGGAGCCATTGTCACTTCCCTGAATGCATTACTTTTTTGTGACTTCCATACCTTTTTTCATTCTATTCTTTCTGCCTGGAAGTCACTTCCCACTATTGTCTGCCCAGTGAGCACATCCTTTAAGATCCAGTTCAAATGTCTGCCCCCTTTTTTAAAATCGAGGTGTAATTCACCTATCACAAAATTCACCCTTTTAAAGTGTATAATTCAGTGGTTTTTAGTATGTTCACATGGGCCATGCAACCACCACCACTAATTCTAGAACATCTTCATCAAAAGAAAACCCACTGCCTTTCGCAATCATTCCACATTTCCCTGACAGTATACTTTCTGTCTCTATGGATTTGCCTATTCTGGACATTTCATATAAATGGAGTCACACAATATGTGGCTTTTGTGACTAGATTTCTTCGCTTAGCCTAATGTTTTCAGTCTTCATCTCTGGGGTAGCATGTGTCAATATTCCACTCCTTTTTATGGCTGAATAATGTTCCATTATATGATTACACCACATTTGGTTTATCCATTCATCAGTCAATGGACTTTTGGGTTGTGTCCACATTTTCACTATTATGAATAATGCTATGAATACGCATGTACAAGTTTTTGTGTGAATATATGTTTTCCGTTCTCTCTTACATATATACCTAGGAGTAGAACTGCTGGGTCATGTGCTCGCTCAATGTTTAATATTTTGAGGAACTGCCAAACTGTTTTCCAAAGTGACTGCACCACTTTGCATTCCTGTCAACAGTGTATGAGGGTTCTCATTTTTCTGTATCCTCACTAACTTTTTTTTTATTTATAGCCATTCTAGTGGGGTGGGGGGGCAGTGAAGTGTGGTTTCTCATTGTGGTTTCAATTTGTATTTGCATTTTCCTGATGACTAAGATGTTGAGCATCTTTTCATGTGCTTATTGGCCATTTGTGTATCTTTTTTGAAGAAATGTCAATTCAAATATTTTGCCCATTTTTAAATTGGGTTGTTCCCTATGGTTGAGTTGTAAAAGTTCTTTTTATAGTCTCAATAGTAGGCCTCTTACCAGACATATGATTTGCAAATATTTTCTCCCTTTCTGTGAGTTGTCTTTTCACTTTCTTGATCATGTCCTCTGAAGTACTAAGGTTTTTAATTTTGATGAAGTCCAGTTTTTCTATTTTTTTCTTTTCTTTCTTTTTTTTTTTTTAAAGATTTTATTGGGGAATTGCAGGGAGGGGAACAGTGCTGGGGAATCAGGGGAAGGGGAACAGACAAGTTGCTGTCCTTTTGTTCTTCAGTCTATTGTGGAGGATGTTTCTTCACTGTCCCATGTTGGTATTATCACTGCGCTCTTCTTGGGTGAGGCAGATCGGTTGCTGGCCTCTGGATGGCCGCTCACGGCGGCTCTTGGCAGCTCACACCAGCTGCCGGCTGCTCACACTGGCTGCCAGCCACACACGGTAGCTTATGGCAGCCCACTGCAGCAGGGGCTGCAGCCTACGCCGTTGCCGGCGACTCACGGCAGCCCAGCTTCAGGTCGAGCTGTTCTCCATCTTAGCTGTAGAGGGCAGTGTCACTGGCCCTCATGCGGGATCTGAACCGGGGCCTTGCTGCTCAGAGCTGGCGTCCAAAGCCAGCTGTTAACCAACAGGCCACTCAACCGGCCCTCTATATTTTTTTCTTTCAGTGCTTGGCTTCTGATGTCATAGCTAAGACACCATTGCCTAATCCAAAATTACAAAGATTTACACCTGTATTTTCTAAGCATTTTATAGTTTGAGCTCTTATACTTAGGCCTTTGATCTTTTGAGTTAATTTTTGTATATGGTGTGAGGTAAGGATTTAACTTCATTCTTTTGCATATGTATATCCACCTGTCCCAGTGCCATTTGTTGAAAAGACTTCTTTATCCACTGGGTGGTCTTGACACTCCTGTCAAAAATCAGTTGACCATAGATATATGGGTTAATTTCTAGACTCTCAATCCTATCCCATTGATATATTGGGTTGTCGGAAAGTCATGACGTATT